TTATAATAGAACGCGCAACTTGTTCTATAGTTGATTGAATTTAAAAAAAAAAAAAAAGTAATAAAAATTTTAACTTTAATTATTGAATATTTCGTTTTACCTTGTGTCGATTCCCTGGAAGAAGAAAAGATCCACTGTACGAAAGGTGGACCAAAATATAAAAATATCCCACTGCATATAATAAGTAATACAAATATTTTGCGACATGAATAATTCCCATCGATCAAACGTCGTATTCGTTTTCCAATTTCACGATTATCGAACATTGTTCCAAGTCTTATCATTGTTATTCGGCTTATAAACTTTAATTTTCACGCTTCTTTTTAACTGTTTTATTTTTATAAAATTGTACGGTAACATAACCTCTGTAATTTTATCGTGATACAAATTTTATGAAAAGAATGGCAAAACCAAAATTTTACACTTTTACAATTTGCGCGAAATTTTCAACATTCTAATATTTCTTTGTGATTTCTTTTCTTTATAATTTCTATATACGTAATTTATTAATTAATAAGAAAAAATGTGACACTTCGTATTGTTGATCGTATAAATATCTTGATATATCGTGAAAATAGTCGTGAATCTGTATGCCGTAAAGTTATCGCGGTGTTTGCATTTCTGGCGCGAAATTATAAATAATTGATTAATTCTAATTGCGTATTACACATACGTGAATATAGTATATGATATATGATTTATTTTATAAACATTTTGAGAAATTTTTTTAAAGATTGTAATATTGTTTGTGTTAATTAATAAGCGATATAATTGTATTCTTCCGAATAATATATTTTCTGAAAAAAAAAAAAAATTTTGTTACGCGTTATAAAATTAATTAATGATGTATTATAATTTGATGTTTATAATTTATACGCCATATATGTGATAAAAATAATTTCAACTATGTATCTTGCTTATGTGATATTTATTGTGGATTTATTGTCTATAAATTATAAATTTCTATTATTATGTTTTATTGTATTATTTACTGATAAACAGTAATAAATTCGTTTATATTTATAAAATATATTTTTAAAAAATATAGAGTTCTGTATTATGTATATTTCCTTTATGATTATAACGCATTCCGATATATATCTTATATATCTTGTGATAAATTTATTAAAATTAAATTTCAATTTTTATCGCTAAAGATATTGTAATATTCTTCTCAACGATATTGATAATATTAGAAAAAATAAATATAAATATATAAATATAAAAATAAAAATAAAAGAATTTTAGAGTTTCCGAAAAACAATATGCTAAATGGCATAAATATGTTATTGTGTATTGCAAAATATATCCAACTTTGTACCACTTCTAAATTTTCGTAACAAAAAGAATCGTTTCGTATTCTGTATCTCTACGTCTGATTTAAATTCGTTTCAAATTTCGTGATTCGTAATGGAATATTCCGAAAGATGGCATTGTTCGAGCAAAAGTAAGATGTTTTGAATAATTCTTGTTCCTAAGTTTGCATCGGATACGATAGATAATTAATGTGACGTTATAAGAGATCGACAAAATATGTCCTTAAATTAATTTTTGTTATCAAATTATTTCCTATTAATTAAATCTTCTTTACGTATATAATAAATTTTTAAGAATTTTTAAAATCTTTTAGGTTAAGTTTAGGTTAAAAGAAAAAGTAATATGTATATCAAAGTCTATCGAAAAATATTGAATTATTATGGAAAGCAAATACACACCGATGTATCTAGAATTTTATTTAATCAATATTATGATGCGACTCACAAAAAAAGGATACGTTCTTCGCGTTTATATTGGAGCGGTTTCGGTATTTTGGTAATGGGTTTTACTTATGCTTCGGTGCCTTTATATAGAATATTTTGTCAGGTAATATTGCTGTTTTTTTTATCGTTGTATTATATTATTATTATTGTATATTTTTTATATTCTGTATTATACATGAGAATGAATTATCTTTTTAATAGTCGTATAATTATGGTGGAACGTTATCTGTCAATCATGATAACACCAAAATACAATCTATGAAACCTTTTAAGGATAGAGTGATAAAAATAAAATTTAATGCTGATACAGCAGCTATGATGCAATGGAATTTTAAACCGCAACAAAATTTCATAAAAGTTATGCCTGGAGAAACTGCTTTAGCATTTTATAAAGCGCAAAATCCGTTGGATGTACCGATCACTGGTATATCTACTTATAATGTAGTTCCGTACGAAGCTGCGCAATATTTTAATAAAATTCAATGTTTTTGTTTTGAGGAACAACGACTTAATCCGCATGAAGAGGTAAGTTTAATAAAGCTTTTTAAATTAGTCGAATCGATTAAATTTATTTTTAAAGATAATTGTACATATGTACAGAGATAATGTCATTTTATTATATCGTCTGTTAGGTCGATATGCCAGTGTTTTTTTATATTGATCCAGAATTCGTTAATGATCCTAGAATGGAGGATGTAAAAGAAATTGTACTTTCTTACACTTTCTTTGAAGCCAAAGATGGGATAAAATTACCTATGCCAAATTTTATGAAAAAATGATAAAGATTATAATAAAAGATGTGTTAGTATTTCAACGAATATTTATTTGATATTGTTTATGAATGTGATGTAAAATATTATTTTATCTTTATTTTCTAAAAAGAACTATGCGATAGGATATGATGATATAATGTAATAATAGTTTTAATAAGTAAACGTTGAAATTTAAAACTTAAAGAGAATATTAATCGGGTAAGCGCGTCTAAGACTTGAAACCTTTTCTTGATCGATGTGTATCGCGTCAATTTTCAACGCAAGATCGTGTTCCAATGTTGTTTGTGCTTTTAATAAGTTTTGATGTTGATTCTCTAATTCTTTCAATTTACTGTACATTCTTTCCATTTGATGATTTATTTCGTCGATTTCTTTTTGGAGACTGTTAACACGATATTTACATTAACGTAATTGTTGGAAAATTTTTCTCTTTTATCTTAATTTACAAGAATAAAGAAATTTTAAATAAATTTACCTCATGTGCGCGTAATCACGACAATGTTCGATATCCGGACGGTGCGTTCTAGTTTGTAATCTGGTATATGCTACTTTTGATACGTGACTCTTATCTGCGATAGCTTTATGCATCAATTCCAAACTTTTTTCAACATTGAAGATTTCTTGTTGGACCTGTAAAAAAGATAGATTAAATTGTTATTTTGATATGTCGAATATGTTATAAATATTTTTACCATTTGTAAATGTTGTTGAAGTTTATTTTTGGCTTCGAGTAATTCGGAAGATCTATGCGTTAAAGCAGTGTTCGTATTACTCCATGCATCCCACATTTCTTGTGTAATTTTAATCATAAGAGCTTCTGCATTCGTCCTTAATTGACATGATTTATTTCTTTCGGTCTGGGATTTTTCGATTATCTGATTAGCATCGTGTATCCATGTATTTTGTTCGGTAAGGCTAATAAATAAATAAATTTAACGTTTACGTTATTTAGTAAAATAATTTACCAACGTGAGTTGAATATGTTTACAAAAGTTTATATACCATGAGTTATATTTTTCAATTCCGATATAATATTGCAATCCGGAACTATAATTGTTCAATTGATGACACATTCTATCTATTTGTAAGGCATTTTCTTTACATTTTAAATTTAATTCTAATTGACATTGACAGAACCTGCAATCTTGCAACTACAAGAATATAAATAAAGGTATAGTAATATATATCAATTTTTCATATATTATAATTTTATAATTTTGAAATTTAATTTTTTGATTGCGTATTACCTGATTCTTGCACTTATCCAAGCAAATCTCCAATTTCGTTCTATTTTGATTCAAAATTTCTATCTCTTTCGCTAAACATTTCTCTGAATCATCGTGCACAAGCTCTGTATCTATGCGACAAAATATTTATGATATTAATATCATTTTACAACATATTTTTAAAAATAATCATCAATGATATTGTTAATAATGTCATTTGTTAATTATTACATTCATTTGTATTACCTTTCCTAGCTTCTCTGTAATAGAGACATTCTTCTGCGATGCGCAATGGATTCTCGATATCTTTAATGGCTTTATTTAAAACAGAATTACAATCGTTTAATCTCTCTATTTCTTGAACTAATCTTTCTAATTCTGATGCTATTTCATTTCGCCAAAAATTTATGTCGTTTATTCTTTCACCGAGTCTTCTATCGGTATCATATTGTCCAGATTGTATTTTTTCTTCGGCATCTCTATTGCCGTAAATATTTATTATTGTTATACAAATTATATAAATATATCGAAATAATTTAATTTGTAATATTATATATTTACCTAATAATCTGTAAAGCTTCGTTTCTTGTTCTTTCTGAAAAATATCTGCATGAATTTGCATCGTTATAATATTTTATTTGTTTCTGATACCATTCGTCGGGTGTATATCGCGTATGTAGAATTGTTTTTGAACCTCGTTGTGCGTTGTGTTCATATTTTGTTTTTAAATCGGGAAATCTCGATGAACTGATTGTATTTGGAATGTCTAATGTATAATTGGATGTTGATTTTGTTCTAGAAAAAATATTAATTAATTATTCGTGACTTTTTTTTCTTATAAAATAAGAAATATTTTTTTTCTAAAATGAAGGATAAGCGAAATATTGCGAACTTACAATGGTATAATTTCAATGTTATTATATTCCTTGGAGTACCATGGCGAATTATATTTGTTGGCGTAATTACTTAAATTGCGCAAAGTTATTGGTTCGACGTAAGAGATTGGTAAATTAAATGTACTCCATGATTGTAATTGCTAAAAATTTTATTTCAATAAAATTTTATTCGAAAAAAAAAAAAAGAAAAAATCATTTATTTTAAATAAGAAAATATTGTTTATCGTAAAAAAAAAAAGATAAAAATGGTAATGCAATAGTAAAAAATAAGAAAGAAATTATAAATCTTATTTAAAGTTAAATAACAAAAAATATATTAAATTTATAATTAAGTTTTATATAAATAATTATTATATGGATAATATAAAATTGAATAATATCCAAAAATTTTATTTATACAAATCTTTCATGAAAATTCAATGAATTACTATTGTTTATTTATACTATTACTATTGTTTTATTTATATTTTATTAATAATAGAAAAATATATTAAGGTATTTTTTAAAAATTATCTTCTTATCGGTTATTTGATGAAGTAGACATCGATTGCGAATCATTATTCAACATGGCAGATATACCTAACGATATACGACAACGTATGTATGCAACAAAAAAATATCGATTTATAAAATATCGAATATAATTTGTATAATTTAATAATTTTATTATTATATGTAATAATTAATTTAAATGTATAAAAAATCATTTTTAAATTAATAATATTTAATTTAATGTTGTTTATTGTACATGTATAAGGTTATATTATATATATATATATACCTTCCTTATTTCAATATTTGTTTAATATATTATAAAATTGTTTAAAATATTAAACATGATATATGTACATTTTGTATATTTAATATATATTTAATTTTTAAATATAATTACTTAATGAATTAATTATTATTCATTTTTTTCAGAAACTGATTACAATATTAACATTTAACATTTAAACATTATAATATAAACAGTATAATATATCGAGTAATCATTATTTATTATGGAATGACAAATATAATATTTTTATAGATTGTCCTGGTACTGAAAGTAATGATGCAGGAAAGTCATCTATATGTGCTGGTTGCCCAAATAAAACAATATGTGCATCTGGTATTACTAGACAACCAGATTCTAATATAGATCTCATTAAAGAAAGACTTTCTACAGTTAAAAATAAACTATTGGTATTATCTGGTAAAGGTGGTGTTGGTAAAAGTACTATAACATCATTGATATCCAGATTTTTGGCATTAAATAATCCTGATATAAATGTATGTACTTTTTTGACATAATATAAATATTTTAATTATTTTATCAATTATATTGCCCTCGATAAGTTTTGTTTATGGTATTGATATTATATTAAAAATTTTTAAATGCTTACCTTTCTTCTTGTAGCAAGAACATCCATATTGTTTTCTATATCTATATCAACATA